AAAACGCAACCTCGAGGAAAGAGACACAGAAAACGCTAGCATGTGCGAAACTTTAGCAGAAAAAGATGACTACATTCACATTACAAGCCCACCTCGCAAAATAAAGCACGTGGGATTTTATCAACACTGTGAAACAGTCCCTGATGGTCGATCCTGTCGATGAGCCGAGTCGCCGAAGGTCACGAAAGTGTTTCACAGATATCCAGACTGCAAGACACAGTGCGAGGACCTCCCAAACAGTGTAGAGAACCCAAGTCACTGAGATCAGAAGTTGAGCATCCCCTTCAAGTATATAATTGCACACGTATGTGCCAGAAATCATCCACTCCTCTAATGTTCGTCCAATGAGCTACGTTCTTCGACTTGATGAACAAAGCTTACCCCCTACAAAATTCACGAGTCCAAGAACCGCGGTTACTCCGCCACTGATGGCATCAAGCACAAAGATAATAACAAGGAAGATGAGAATCATTCTAGATCCCTGATACATCGCATACAACCGAGTAATGACAACGACTTGCATCGTATTTCAGTCCAGTCAATATAGCACAGTGATTGGAATCGGGTAACTCACCGCACAACATGGCACCTACAGCCATATTTGTCCCATTGAGTGTGTAGTACATGCTACCGCCTGAGACACCCAATTAGCGATCACCCTTATACTAGTAGTATCAAACATTCCGACTTACACCTATTAACCCATTACATTGAGCCAAGTTCCATATTCAAAATTTCACTCACCGCTATATATAAGTGAGTTCATTGAATAGGAGTGAGATGGTTGCATAAAACTCACTGCATCTGTCAGCGAGACGAATGGCGCAGAAGCTGTGTGCCGTCTGTCAGACGAATCGAACACAAGCATATGAGACATACCGATAAAATGGATACTAATGTCCGAGCTGGTCTATTAGCACGGTTTCAAGTTGTTGGCCTCGATACGTACACAGAATATGGTATTCCCATATAGCGTATCTAGAACATTTTGGGGTCAGAACAACTGCCGACCACGCTACTAGTAGCACAACATGAGGTACGAACAAGTAGATACATCAATGTCATGAGAGACCAAGGTTGTCTCTGTCGCAAATTCAGTATACTCTCCTGTTTTTCTTCTCATACCGAACTCTTGTCACTCACCCAGATTAGTTCAATCTAGGACACCTCTTTCAGCGAGTCTGCTACTGTGATTATATCATCGACCTACCTCTTGTCCGATCGTGAGTACTGGAAATGTATAAGAATATAAGTGGTTTTCGAAGACTGTCCCCCTCACCTAGATCGTATATAACCACGACTGCGGCAGCAACTGTGTAACAGCAAGTCAATGTTGGATCAAAGGATCTTGATACGACAAACTTGTCCAATAGCTGAGATAAATGTTCAAACTGATTAGCGGCCACAAACTAGGATCATTTGAGACTACGGTCATGTTCGACTTGAAGGACGAGGAGCGAATGAGGAATGTTGGTAGTGTATAACGATAGCGTTCATGCTAGATATACTACCGCTCAGTGCTTGTATAGCCATGATGGACGTTTGATTGATCCGCACCTCGAGACCCTTGATCAATGCAATGATCAGGTTACGGCCATCAGTGAATTCATTGTAGCTGTGAGAACAATAGACGTACATAATTATGTTCCTGCTGAATAAGACCACAGATACTCCGAGTCGGAGGAATCTGTGTTGTCGATACATAGACGTGTATAACCTACTATGTGTAGATCTAGACTACGACGTAACGATGGGGAGTTCACAAAAGTGTTGTGTTGCAGCCATCACAGCTAGCAATATTTGCTAGCGTAACCTTGTGTTTGAAGAGCAAAACCCAAATGGGGTATGTAGCACCGCACATTGCCGTACAGTGACTCAGGGTCCAGCTTCGTCTGACTCGAGAGTCACTGACATGATCTAGTACGTTGGGCTGGACTGAGCGTTAGCTCGGAGTAGTAGGTGGGTATAAAGAAAAACTGTAGGTATGAATCGAGGTGAGGATGTACGAGGTATGACGAACTCAATGTCGTGGAGGAGAGAAAGAAACAGAAGCGAACGCGCATGGTAAGCTGGACGTATGGTGCCGAGAAGCTACATTACTCGGCACCTGTATACATTTCACAGGCAAGTCCCCCCGTGGGCAGCCGAGCCACAGCGTATGTTTCCGATGTGTATCAGATCACCCTACAATTCAGACTTGTAGTAATTAAAGTATCAGGGTTTTGCTATAATTATAGGCAGCGACACGTCAATACCGCAGGGACAGGTTGCATGTTAGATAAATACCACGGCAGATCCTCAACCCAAATTCTCTTCCCTGTAGAGTACAGGGCAAGCGTTTCCATACACATTACCACTAGTCGGTACATCTACATGCTCCTTGAGGACACTCAAATTCATGCTAGTTGTGTCAGAGTTGGCCACACGTTTAGTGTGATATTCTCGAACACTAAGGATGAGGCGTGGTCCTAGCACAAACATCTGCACGCCCAACAAAATATGAAGAGCACCGGCGACTATCTGAGCCCCCGTACCATATGAATCCTACAGAAATGATTAGCAGTGATTAAAAACACATGTCAGCGACAGGTCAGCGCACCGCGAGCTTTGGAGAGAGATTAACAAGCTGGAGGCAAGAGACGCCAACAAAGCTAAAGCAATGTTTAGAACTTGAGACAAAGATGACTACATTCACATGACAATCTCACCTTGCAAAATAATGCACGTGAGATTTCATCAGCGCTTTAAAACAGTCTCTGATGCTCGATCGTGTGGATGGACCAAGTCGGCGCAGGTCACGGAAGTGTTTCACGGAAATCCAGGCTGAAATACACAGTGCGAGGACCTCCCAAACAATGTCGAGCGTCCAAAACATTGAGAACAGAAGCTCGTTGGCCCCTTCGTATCTATAATCGCATATATATGTACCAGAGAGTAACAGCTCCTCTGGTATTTACCCAATGAGCCGTGTTCTTTGAGTCAACGAGTAAAGCTTACCCCCTACAGTATCTTTGAGTCCTAGTGCCCCAATTACTGCGCATGCGATGTTGACAGCCAAAAATACGATAACAAGGAAGATGAGCATCATTCGAGATCCCTGATACATGGCATGCAACCGAGAAATCATGATGACTTGCATCATGTTTCATTCTAGTCAATACCGCTGAGGCATTGCAACTGTGTAACTCACCGTCCAGCATGACATATACAACCACATTGATCCCGTTCTGTACGTAGTACGTGATATTGCCTGCAAAACCCAATTAGTGAACACACTCGTACTAGTATCAAAAGCTTCGACTCACACCTATTGCGCCATTACGTTGAGCCAATTCAATCATCAGAATCTCACTCACCCCTACAATAATTGTATTCATTGGATAGGAATGAGATGATTGTGGAATACTCACTGCATCTGTCAGCGAGACCAATGGCATACTTGCTGTATGCTGCTGGTCAGAAAAATTGAACACAGTCCATATGCAACATACGCAGAGCATAAGCACTAATTGTCAGAGATCAGCTATTAGCATGGTACTAATTTATCTGCATTGACACATACACAGAGTATGGTATTCCAATACAACGTATCTAGAACATTGGGGAGTAAGCACAAGCGCCGACCACGCTACAACACAACATGAGGTACGAACGACCAAATACAACACAGTCATGAGAGACCAGCGTGGCTTCTGTCGTGAATTCATTGTATCTCTTGCTTTTCTTCTGATACAGGTCACTCACCCAGATGAGTTCAATCTATGACGCCATTCTTAGCAAGTTGGCCGCTCCGACAATGATATCGACATACCTCTTGGCCGAGTGTTAATACTAGAAATACCATGAGAATATCAGAGGTTTTCTAATGCTGACCCGCTCACCCCAATCGTATACCACCACGACGCCAGCGGCAACTGCGAAACGGAAAGTTGATGTTAGATCTAGATATCTTGATGCGACGAACCTATCCAATAGCTATAAAAGATATTCTCATCAATCATCGGCCACGAACTGGGGCCGTTCAAGATTTTGGTCATATCAGACAGATGAGTGTAAGCGGATAGGGAATGTTTATGGTATAACGATTGTGTTTGTGCTAGATATACCACCGCCCAGCGTTTCTGTCGCCAAACTCTGAATGATGGATATGGATAAATGATCCTGCCTTGATTGGGTGAAATGCTGCAAAATCAAGTGACAAGTGTCAAATTAGATTTTGATTTCCAAACCAGTGTTTAATACGCACGCGACTACTTGAACACCATCGTTGGTGATGTCGACAAAATTTTCCAAGGTGATTTTGAGGTCTTTGCCGCAAACTTGCAAAAATTGAGGAGTTCCCTGTAGTTGTCGATCTAGCACAGGTCAGAGCGTGAAATTGATGTGAGTGAAACAAGCAGTGCACACTCTTCGGCTTTGCTGGCTGAGCCCGAGGCATAACTGCCCTCCGATTACTATTATGGAACAAGAAACCTTGACTGGGTCAAATATATCTCACCTTACCTGTCCATCGCATCATGCTTGAATCATTGGGACCTGGGCTAGCATGATTATATTAGCATGATGAACAACGAGATACGATAAGTTTAGAGCGAATCCAATGTAAAGCACATGGCATTCAATGCATTAACCCATCAGTAAATTTATGAACGTATGAAAATATTGAGAACAAATACTCGAAAATGCGGGAATGACATGAACGATGAACGTTTGAACATTGAACACAGCGAGGCGCCTTCCGGAACGGCGTGTTTTCCCGGGCCAAAGTTTTGTTTATGTAACGAGTCTCGCGAGCGCTTAGCGGAATCAAAGCGGAATCAAAGGTGGTCCATCAGTGCATGAACAGCATGTCAGCTGTACATGTTGTGCCCTCTACAGAGCCATCTGGACATCACGGTGCAAGTCAGCTTTGTACAAGCTCAGTGCTCAAAGGTTACCACACTACTTCTAACAGTGGGTACATGACGTTGATGATGGTACAAAATCACAATTGCAGCCCACAAACATAGGTCCAGATTCCATGGAGTTTGATAAATCAAACAGATTCTTTTAACCACTTTCAGAGTCGCACTCCTCATTGTCATCTTTGACCGCCTCTGCGCACTTCAAACGCCAAGTTTCGTGCAGCCTCCAGAAGTTTTGGTGCGAGTCCCAAAGTCGTCGGTTATTCTGGACGCACGCGAGATTCGCGTCACCGACAAATTCTACCGCGTCCTCAATCTCGGGCCATTCCTCTAATAGCCAACACATGTTGTCCTGAAGACCGGACAACTTTATCTCCCCGACGATGCTAAAACAGCAGCAGCGCCTGAGATACCCAAGCGCGTCTTCCACCCAATTATGGCTATTCCAGCAGGGGAGATCGCGCATGATGGCAACTCTCGGAAGGAGTGTTTCCATGGCGTCGAGCTCCTTCCTGTTTACCTTTCCAACTATACAGCTTCCACGCAAGTCCTCCAAATTTTCCAGAGGCTGGTTGAGTCGGATATCGATGGCGTAGTTTGTGGAGTCTCCTGCGATTTGATACGTGTTCCCAATGCTAGGACTTGTTTCGACGTAGATTGCCCAGTGAAGTGGATAGGGCCGTCGTGGCTCTTCCTCGCCTCGCCAGAACTGGACAACTTGGACATCATAAGGTTTAGTTGGATCGTTTTCTAATTCCGAGAATAACTATGGGACTCGTTAAGTCACAGTTCGCTGTATTTTACGATAGTACTCACCAAGAATGTAGACGACATTTTGGGCAAGATGGGAGCTTATGAAAATTTAGTCCATCGGCGACTCGTTTAAAATACCCGAACCCTCGTGGCTTTTTCTTTTTCAAACTGTGGAAGCAACGTGACCTTCATTGTTCTTGATGATATGCACTTTAGGGTGGACCACTTATTGCCTTCTCAATCGAGCCGCTTACAATAGCCCATTCAAACGCAAGTAGATGTCTTGGGCTCTACTAGGCTAAGCCCTGCCGGGTCACAAGTCCATACCCTCCCGCTCATTGTTACTGATCGCAAGGTGACATCAAGGTGGCGACAAAATCAACTATTCATACTCCCACATGAGTTTTCTGAGCTTATCAACATTGATTTTGATTTTTGTTATCACGAAAAAAATGCCCGAAGGCCGCCTTGGTTCCATGCGCGATAATTCGAAATGAGGTCGTTTGGCAAAAGTTTTAGGTACGACGTGGCGCGTGTAAAACTAACCGTATCGCAGAATCGACGGACACGAATTCGACCGTGAGCGAATGCCTTTGCCTTCGCTTGAGGCATATCCCTGTTATCGACATTCTCAACCCACACCACAACGTCAAAAAAAAGGGCACGTCAACTATCAGTAGCATGGAAGGCAGCTTTGATGTAAGTGTGTTGTCTGAAATTCTATATCATTACTAACAAGGTTCAGCATAGTCATCAACGTCCACAGAGATTCCATGCTCGCAACAGTGTGCGTCAACCGTCAGCAGCATGGGAGGTAGCGTTCGTGTAGGTGTTATCTCTTAACTCGTGATTTTCAATACTAACGGTATATTATAATAGAAGGAACGGCCGTTTTTTTTTATTCGATCTACCCGACGCTGTAAACTACTAGTGACAGTCAACCTGTGCTCTTGTGCTGGTGTCAATATCGTGTATGGTTCAATGCCACACACTATGTTCTCATCAATACAAAAACGCTCAACTGCTCTCGCGCGATAATGTCTGACGCATCTCGCATATTCAGTGGGGGCAGCTCGCCACACATGATCAACGGTACAGCAGTCGACCTCGGTGCACTATTCCCACTGACCCCTTGGATCACAACAGACAAACGTTGCCATTAGCCGTTTGACGCGAGGCGTTTTGTGCTTACGGCGTGTGTCTAGATGAAGAGTTTGAAAAGCAGGACATATCATCCGATCCCAGGAGAGCGGTTCCATGGTACGTTTATGTTCCCACACGACGCAGAGCCCGTGACATACTGATACACCGCACTCTGCCAGTGCACTTCAACTCTATTTGATTTCTAATCAGCCATATTGACGATGACCTGGTAGATTCTCTCACAGCCAAACACCCTTTCAGAGGTGCGACGTACTATCAGCCACATTTTTTTTTTGAGTCACAGTCACTTTATCTCCTTTCTTTGTGTTCGCTTGGATGATCAAGTATTCCGCGTCTAGGTGTAGTTTCTAGTCTATCAGCTGTCTGGGCTTAAACGTATACCTGAGACAGCAGATTATCGCCTGAAGTGACGCAGAGGCTTTCAAGCGATCACTCGCTTGCTAAGAGAAGCTGTTATCGATGCCAACGGGTGTATGCACGCAGGTGTGGGTGTCTGTATCTCGTTCGGCGGATAATAGCCAAGAAGACAGCAACAAGAAAGATCAGCATCGTTCTAGATCTCTGATACATTGCATGCAACCGAGCAATCATAATGACTTGAATCTTTTGTTGCGATTCGTGACGTCACGCAGCAATGGGCATGAATTTTTCCTCCACGTGTGATGCTCCACACACCCGTAGCAAGAGAGTTGTCGAGCGAATCGCAGAGACCACGAATTTCCTGTATTAAGGTATCAGCTAGTGGTATTGGATTGGAATCTGAGACTCGATAGGCCGACCTTTGCAATACGTTCAACCCAAACAACCGTCAACTTCAGCGAATTGGCGTTTCCCTAATTTAGACAAGTATTGCGCAATAATAATACAACCTTGCTGCAGTCTTGTGATATGATATAACATTCTGGAGCTTCCAATTTGTCATTCTCCATCTCCTTCAAGGCCTACCTTCATTGAGTATTGATTGTGGAACGTTTGCACCTCATCGCAAGACATGGTTCGGTTCAAGGTAGAAAACAAACTGGTTTTCAACCGTGTATAGCATGCTTACCCATACAATCAAACAAGAATCGCTGGCTCCTCGTCGAATTCGTCGATACGTCTACGGTAGATACCTCCACTGAAAAAGAGTCTCTAAGCACACGAACTCTGGACGGGAGGTTGATCTACAACGCTCTCCGCGACAGCATCGTGACAAACTTTGGCGACACCGGATGGGGAGCAGTAGGGATGTCGTTGAATGGTGCATATAATCCTTCGACTATTTATATTATCTTACATAAATGGCTGCAGTCAAGTATTTTTCACCGCTCACGAACCTTTGTATTATTCGTGTCGCACGAGATCAACATCGAATTGCATGGGGTGCAGTCACGCTTCTCACTAGCATCTACGATGTCAGGGTCATTCCGCGTGTTATTCATGTCTCAGGTAGGCTTGCATCTTTGTGTCTCTCTGCCATCCTCTAAACCAAAGTGCTGCAAACGCCGTGTAGGCACTGTCAAACACACGCAACTCTCAGCAATCACATACAACCGAGAAGTTATTGCGCGGTTTCGCGCTAAACTCAAAAATGCTGGTAAGCATGGTGGATGCAGGTGTGGGCGGATTGCTCAATTTCCGTGTTTCTTGAAATGCAGCACATGACTCATACGATGACTATCTCGCGCGAAGCACTCGGGAGATCGAGGCTTTGCATGACTGAATCAGTTCGATGGTATCGTAACCCTTGTGACCCCGAGGAGCTCTTCACTCTCTTCCTTTCGGTGGTGCGCTTTGAGGCTACATCCTGAGATCGTTCCCCTTTCCTGCACGAAACTGAGCTAGCGTCAGGGTTAGCATAAGATGTTTGCAGTCACTCGTGCGGTCCTGGCTCGAGAGAGCACGCATACTAGGAATTGCGTAGGAGTAATGCAGGAATAACAAGCGAAGAAACGGAGGAACATGACAGGAATTTTGACATGGTGTGTATAGCTACATTTAACATCGACTTATGCTTCCAAACACGATATCTCACAACTTCAACTCCGTCCATACTCCTACAGCTTCACCCTCCGCCACAATCAGCCACTGTCTTTTTACTTCTCTTTCTCTTGCGACCCATCCTTGTACCCAGTCGACAATATTGCCTACCAGTTTCTTCACATCGTCACGAGCATGTCCTGCGTACAAACATACTATTACTCGGGAACTGTGGGCCATGTCATTGCTTTTCTAAATAGCGGTTGTGGATAAGATACACGGCAAGGGAATGTGGAGGAGGCGTGAGGTGACTCGGAGGGATGATAGGTGTCGGGGAGGAAAGGATAGATCAGAGGGAGTGTGTGTAGGATCCTCGTGATCATCTGTACGTAGATGGCCAGGCAAGTAGAGCAGTTCGAGTGGAGCTGACTGTAAATGTCCAGCTTCGTGCTCCGGGTCTCAGACAGTTTTATTGCGAAATCTAATTGGCATCTATTCTAGGCTATCATCCATCGTGAGTGCAGTGTTGGAAGTACTTTGTTCATAATCGAACACCCATCATCGATACACCTCGCGTCTCCATCTAGACACTCCCCGGAACTTTATTCTCCTCGTGATCATCCTGCCTAGATTCGTGTCCTCACCAACACCCACAAGTTGTTTTCTTTCGTCATTGCAACAGCCCACGCTACCTTTCAATGTGCCTGCAAAATACCCTCGAGTCTTCACGTTTTCCGGGTCCGTTTCCCACCTTCTACCGGACACTTCATTCAAGTGATCATTTGCTTGCCCTGGAGCGACTGTGATCGATATCAACGGGTGTATCGCAGATGTGTGCATGTCCGTATCTCGTTCGTTACTTTACTCTGATGGTCAGCCATGACTTCGCACGATTTCTTCATCTTTCCTTCTCCGTTGCCCGGATGGACGAGAATGCATCTCAGGCTAATCAACTACCAGCTATCTGGCCTTCAGTTCACAGTCACTTCTTCATCATCTGTGTGCTTCAAGTTAGACAGAGGAAGTCCACAAACGCGTAGAGTCAGTTGTTTCGTTAATTTATACTAATTCTCGTTTATTTCAGTATTGGGCATCGAGGACTGGGTTGGCTGCTAGACGTTCTGGACAATTTCGGCTTGCCATTTGGTGCAACTGTGGGCAGGTTGTTCACTGCGTTCCGGTAAGGATACATCAAGAAATGGATTGGTATACGTAAACCTCGATTTTAAATATGCTTGGAAACATTATATGTTAAATAAATACTAAGACGGATCCTCGACCAAATTTCTCATCCCTACGGACCACCGGTCATGCATGTCCCTACACAGTACTACTAGTTGTCACATGTACATGCTCCTGGAAGACAATCGAATTCATGCTAGTTTCTGCATCAGAGTTGGCCACGAGTTTGGCGTGATATTCTCGAACGCTAAGGATCAGGCGTGGTCCTAGCACAAACATCTGCACGCCCAATAAAATTTGAAGACCGCCTAGGAGTGTCAGGGCTCCAGCAGAATATGAAGTCTGCAGAAACGGTGAGCAATGTTTACACGCATATGTCAGTGACAGGTCAGCGCACATAGAGCTCTGGATATATAAAAGCAAGTTGAAGGCAAGAGACGCAAACAAAGCTAGTCGTGCAGGACTTGAGCAGAAAACTATGACCACAATCACATGATAAACTCACCTTGCGAAATAAAGCACATGAGATTGTATCAGCACTCTGAAACAGTCCCCGATGGTCGTTCCTGTCGATTGGCCGAATCTTCGTAGGTCACGGAAGTGTTTTACAGCAACCCAGGCTGAAAGACACAGTGCAAGGACCTCCCAAACAGTGTTGAGCATCCAAACCATTGGAAACAGAAGCTGAGCATCCCCATCAGATACATCATTATACATATATGTGCCAGAGAGTATCAGCTCCTCTGGCATTCGTCCAATTAGCTATGTTCTTCACGTCGACAAGTAAGCTCACCCGCTACATCATCCTTGAGTCCTATTGCCGCCATTACCCCGCAGGCGATGCTTACAGCCAGGAACATGATAACAAGGAAGCGAAGCATCATTCTGGATCCCTGATACATAGCATGTAACCGGGCAATCATGATGACTTACATCATGTTTCAGTCGAGTCAACA